CACAACACAGCACACGTGCATGGGATGGTTCAGGTGTTAATATCTGCAGAAACACAACACAACACACGTGCATGGGATGGTTCAGGTGTTAATATCTTCAGAAACACAACACAGCACACGTGCATGGGATGGTTCAGGTGGTAATATCTACAGAAACACAACACAGCACACGTGCATGGGATGGTTCAGGTGGTAATATCTACACTGGTTTCAAATATCTCCCACTGTACGCCTACTACGCATCTGTTGCCCGATTGTTTCTCATAGGCATCTCACCGTGTGTCTGACTTTCCTTTGTTTAGAGTTTAAGGGTTTCAGAATTTTAGTCCTACCTTTTGCCTGACTTTCTCCTTGACCCCTTCATCGTGTTTGATGTCGTCTGGTGCGTATTGGTCGTAGATGGTGTCGAAGTCTTCTCTCAGTAGTATGGTTGCCGCTGCGGTGCATCCTACAAAGTAAAGCGGTTCATGGCATTGGTGTGTTGTGAGTCATTTAAGAAATGGGATAATCTTAGCCGTTAATAGACCACGTGGTTGCACCCATCGTTTGAGCTGTGATAGTAATACTTGCGAGTGCGCAATAGTAGTGAATGGGTTCATGCATTCCTTCCGCACGAGTGAGTGGTGTGGGTGCGCGTGCCCCAAAACCCTGCGACAGATGGGCAGGTGTTTTAATACGCATACGAAATTCGTCGAGTGCGTTCAGGAGCATCGTTCAATCCTAAAGCAGAACACGCAACCCATATAGTATACAAGAATATATAATAACCCTAAAGCCCCAAAATCCAAAACTCTAAACATTTGCAGATGTGGTGTATATACCATGAGCATGTGCACCTCCTAAGTTTGAATGGAGCCGTTATTGGGATTGACGTAAGGGGCGAATCAGCGATTTACGTTACAACATCCGCCTACACTTGAAGTGTCCGTCAGAGCCACAGCGTCTGTTGTGAGCAGTTGATGCGCACGCATACGTGTGCCAAACAACGCATGCAATGACTAAAACATTCAATAAGACACATTCAATGCCCGCCCACGCAGCTACTCACTCGACAACTAGAAAGGGCCAGACAACCAACTACGACTACGTCAAAGACATACATACCTTACCACGTTTGCCACACATCTCGAGAGGAAAGACATACATACCTTACCACACTTGCCACACATCACGTGTTAACACCTGAATGCACTTGCCATAAGGTAGGGGTTGTTCGAGTGTCCTAGGTGTTTCTAGGGTTAATGGTTTAGTGTTTAGGGTCAAGTATCAATGGTCACATTGTGCTGCACTCACCTGCGCCCAGACTGTGGCCTGTGATGAGGATTTCGTATGTGGGGTGTGTCAGGATAGCCGCAGCGATGACCTTCAGACTCTGCACGATCACCCACTCCGCCCCTGCAGCACAATACGCACGCGCCAACAACTGTTGTGTGACCAGGGTGTGACGGTGTCTTATGAAGAAAATTGTGTGACATGTTTTAGGGTTTTAGTGTTTTGAGGTTTAGAACGATTGTGGGGTTGGTGTGAGCTTAATAGGTGACCGCTGAATAGATCGCACACGGCTGTTGTAGTGCGATGAACGGGCGTTCAGAGTTGTCACTGTGACTCATCACGGGGGTTGTCCTGAGTTGCATATGCGTTGCAAGTGTAAAGGCTTTGATCGGTCACATGGCAGAGTGAGACCTTGAATGCGGATATTGCATCGGTTGCACGTGCATGCGGTGTTTGGGTCTGCGTGTGTTTTAGGAGTTTTAGGTGTGGTCTGCGTGTGTTGATATCTGTGGCACCTGCGAGTCGAAAGGGTGAAGCGTCACAAATCGGGAGATTTGTTTTGTAGAGTTTTCCAAACGCTTTATAGCCACTGCACCAATACACAGAATCACCTCCATACAACGACATGCACACATTCATAAAACACAGCCATGCACGTACTACACGGCTTCAACTTCCAGCCCTCGACATATAGTACATACAATACAATGCCTTGTGTGTGTGTGTGTGCGTGTGTGCGTGCGTGCGTGTGTGTGTGTGTGTGTATGTATGTGTGTGTAGCTACGCTCGTCACACGTACACACCTAACTTCATGCCCGTGTGCATGTGACCATTCTTGAACACCGAGGGTTTGGCGCTTGCGTCTGTGAACATGTCACCTGTGGACACGGTGCCTCTGATGGCCACAATTATCGCCTTCAGTCGACGGTCTATGGCAATGTAAAAGGCAGGACGGTGCATGGCCCCTGTCCAGTTGTGTAGCAGGATATCATCTTCCTCCAAACCTGGTAGTACAATAGAGAGTAAGGGTAGGTAAAACGTTTGATGGTCAGCGAACAAGATTGTACTCAGCTTCCTGGCAACAGCATTGGCATGGTATGAAACACTTAGTGGTTATTAATACGTGCGATCGTCTGTAA